GTCGAAGAGCGTGAAGATGCTGAAGAACACAAAGAGCACGTGCGTGTCGTGTTGGCTGAAGCCTCGGTACTCGTGGTTCCAGACGGCCTCGTAGAGAATCTTCGGCACACTGTTGAAGGAGATGAGGTACATCATGTCCGAGAAGGCCAGAGAGACCAACAGGATGTTGGAGCACTTTTGGAGCCCATGCCTCGTAAGGACCGTGATGCTCAGGATGTTACCTACAACCCCCAGGCCGGAGACGGAAGGGGTCACGTAAAACATGAGGATCCTCATCAAGTACCACGTCATTTCGTTGCTGATGATTTCGTTGATCGCCATCGTTTTATTATCCAGCATCGTGTACACAAATAGACTGTAGAATTCCCTTCAAGACCGACTAATCAGGTAAAAACTTTGACCTATCGCTTTAGACAAAGATAAAATTTCTGCTCCTGCACTCACAGCTTTCTTTAACAATTGTGTTTATAAGAGAGTCCTTTTTTTATTACACTGAAAAAAATCTCAGAAAGTTAATTTTTCTTTGACAATTGTTCGGTGAAAGCGTAAACAGATGCGTTAAAGAAAATATCAAACAAAAAAGGTATATTGATGGACATTTAATAACCTTTCTTACGACTATAACTGCCAATTAACGTAGTCATTTATTGATTGTTTGGTCGGATGGTACGTCAAGCTAGCGGTTTGTTTTCTATTTCAGATATCGGATGTTGGATAGCGTTGCTAAAAAAGTTGTTATTTTTTCTATGATTAAACCAAGGCTAATTGCATAGGGAAAATTATACGTAGATAATTACATCTTGATAATTACACACTTTGTCGAATCTTGTGATAAAACCCTCCGAATTTTAATGTGAAAATAATTTCAATGTGCCATTAAACAAGTCGAATGAAATAATTATTTCTAAAATTGTTATAAAATAATTGGGTTGACCTTAAAACTAAAAATGTTAATTTTAAAGCTTTGTGTCGATGTCAAATTAGAAACAACAAACTCTTGCTTGATCTAAAATTATGCTTTGTAACTTTCTAGAACTACAGAGAGTACAGAGAGTACTGAGAGTAGAGGGAGGCTTTCTAAAAACGTTAAGAATTACCTTACAGGAACATATTTTTTTATGGTTCCTCAGATTTTAAAACTTTCGAAAGGAAAAGGTGTTAGTCTTTAGCCAGTGTTAAGATAACTAGCACCTGTAATGTAGCAGTACTAACAGCTCCTGACACGAAGCTATAGCCAATAGCTCCTGCGAAAAATTCTGTATATAACAGCTCCTGTCATGAAGGTGATTAGACTATTGATAAATAGAAAATTAAAATACAAAAAAATGAAGCAATATTCGAATGTAGAAACACAACTTAATTATGCATCCGGAAAAGTGTTTGTGGTTGTGACTAGAACGCAATAAATTATGACGTCACATGTCACATGTTTAAAATATGGAAAGTACACAACACTAATGGCGTCATCTTCCGATTTTAGAATATAAAGAAATGAACTATTTCATTCAAATTTGATTTAGATCTAGATTCTTCTTATGAAGATGTAAGCTATGAAATGTATACAATATTCTGGGCCTAAACTAATACTATTTAATGTTAAAAACAACATAACTACCATTGAACAGCCTGGTTGTTAAGTAAATCCTTTAAGTCTTTTAATCAACGTGTGCATTAAAAATTGGGTTGTGTTGACTAATAATGTATATCATTTATTTTTTTATTTTTCTAATTGGTATTGGTAGCCTATGATATTTGAAATGTTTCGTTTTTTTAGCTATTAAGTTATTATTTTGCTTTGTCTCTAATATCGTTCAACACGTAGTAAAGCACATTGCTTTTTGACCAATAACTTTTTTATAAAATATTTTTCTCAAACATGTATAACATTAAAATATATACGCGTATAATTTACGTGTCACGGGTACAGACGGCTAGTGATAATAATTACATAATCACTGTATGGACGCCCTTAAAATAATTTAAATATGCTTCATGTTTTGTAAAATTAATATGTGGCATACTTTCTGTAAGATATTTTAAATAAACCGGGAGTGATCTCCCCTAAACTTTCTCGAATATTCTTATGTGAAATAACAGAGGACGGCAACTCGAGATATATACATAATTTTTAATCCATTTTAAATACTTAAACTTTCTAAAATAGAATAGAATCTTGTAGAAAAAAGAATTGCACACCAAGTAAACGCCAAATAAAATGTGCATAATAGTGTAGAATACTATTAGTACTTTATAAATTCACATGGGTTTTTTGAGAAATCGGAAATAGCAAAAATTACTACTTCCGTTCAGTGGAAATTACTCAAAATTTGACAGAAGGCAGAGAATTAGATCGTTTACTTACAAGTGAAATGTCTTTTATCTATCTGAAATAGTACTCAAGTTATATGCTTTTGAAAAATTCAAAACAGAAAAAGCTCCACTTCCGGTTATGGATATCGCTCAAAAGTTGACACGGATCTACGATTTTGATATAATACTCATGTATGAAATTTCATCAACCTAGCTGTAACGGTACTCAAGTTATCGTGATTACACACACACACAGAGACAGACACACATACACACACACAGACATACGGACAAGATTGCAAAACTATGTTTTTTCCGACTCAGGGAGATGTAAAACGTAGAGACTTGTAAAAATCTCGATTTTTTTGCACAATTACAAGACTTTATACTTCGTATATACGATAAAGTAAAAATCAACTAAAATAATTATCATTAAAAAAGTTTTTAAAAACCCACGTTTTTAAAAAAGTTTTAAAAAACCCACGTTTTCTGATTGAACTAAAAAGTAGAAAATAAATGCTATACATCACAATAATGCAAGCGATCACTCTACTATAAGCGATCGCAAACTGCGTGCGCATTATGACAAAACAATGAAAAAAGTGGGGCGCCGAAGTAAAAGTTTTTTATCGGTCATTGTTAATATAAGATGTAAAAGTTATATTACTATTGATTAGATAATACTATTGAGTTTTATTAGGGAGCTTGTAGAGAGTCAACAGTATTAAAAACTGTAAGAAAATCACGGCGCCCCACGTTTTTAATTTTTTGTCATAATGCGCACGCAGTTTGCGATCGCTTATAGTAGAGCGATCGCTTGCATTATTATTGTGATGTATAGCATTTATTTTCTACTTTTTAGTTCAATCAGAAAACGTGGGTTTTAAAAACTTTTTTTAAATGATAATTATTTTCTACTTTTTAGTCTTTGTCTGTTTCTTTGCATTCAAATCTTGCTATCGATTTTATCTTCTCGCATTCACTTTTTTTTGGGTAAACGAAGACAACTCGTAAAAAACACGTGCCTTTACCAATTGACGTTTCTTCTGTGTTGCCGTTTCTTTCACCATTTTGCCCTCGCGTGCAAACCATTCGACCATCAACATTCTACTTCCTGATCAGTCAGATTTGCATAGGTTTGTACACAAACACTGCGTGACCACTACTCAGCGAATCGCGTGCTCGCTCCTTCAGTAAGCCTGAAGAGGGAAAGTACCGAACCTTGTTTTCATCAAATCACAATTACTGGGTTATGTCCCTTTTTTGGTACAAATCAATAGGAGTCTAAAATGATCAATAAAATTTTTCCATGGAAAATAATAATAATTGAATATTGTATTGTCATCGGAAACAAAGCTTCCCTGAAAATTTCAGCCCGCTAGCTAACTGGGAAGTGCCCGAAATTTTGATCGCAAGATTTGATTGGAAAAACAAACAAGCAAATAAACAAACAAACAGACGCGAAAGCAAGTTAAAGAAAACGTGGGAAAAACAACTTCCTGTTTTAAGTTTAAATTTAACTCTTTATAAAAATCTTTTGTTAAATGTTAACACTTTTTAAAAATGATATCAAAATCCGTTATCTACTTTGATAGAAATAAGTTGAATTGAGGCCGGAATAGGATTCTGAAATTTAATCAAAGTCCAAAGTTTAGTTAAAGTTTTCACATTGTACAGCTTTCCAGATGTTCATTCATGACGTCACTCACGTCTTTCTTAATCGCGATCACTGCTACAAGCGAGAGACAGAAAAACAATTTTCGTGTGTTTTATTTTTATGGTGGACGTTTACCAAGTGGGTAGCTCAGACTGCTGCATAGTTCAGATCGTTGGATAAACCTGATAGGTTACTAGATTCTCGAACATACAAACTTTATAAATCATCAGTCATCGAGCAAACACATTTTATAGATAACAGACGTTCAATAATAAAACCTTTACAAAATATACAGCCAAGCCTTTTATCATTTCTTTGCTGGTATTTGTTCTACTGGTTTTTTTTGGAGCGACGTGTGTTTAATTATGTCTGGCGTCTGTCCTGTGTTTAATTATGTACGATGTGTGTCTTGTGTTTAAGAATTGTAAGCGACAAAATACATAAAGGAAATAAGAAATACAATAAACGCTGTCAAGAAATAGATTTTCAAAACACAACAAAATCACAGATAGGCGACTTACTGACATTTGACGGTAGCTTGACTTTTCAATAAAATAAACACAAATAATTTCTAGGTGCTGTTAAAGACTAAGTATAATTTTTATGCAGAGGGTATTCCAGAAATGTTATGAATGTTTAATATTTACATATAAGAAGTTATGTTTCTTGAAATGTCACAGCTAATTAAAAAAAAAACAAAAAACATTTGCTGTGGATGTAGTGGCGTAGACAGCTTGTTTCAAAGTTTAGATCCAATAATGACAGGTGAAGACACTCTATGATAGAAAGAAGTCTTTCAATGACAGATGAAGATGTCCGTATGTCACATCAAAACATCAGCCCAACAGACGTGCGGTTTTGTCGTCTTTAAAATAACAACTAAGTTAGACTGACACCCATTTTGTTAATGGGTTCAATTTTATTTGAAGAATTTTTCACAGACTTAACAAATAAAAAACAATCTGGCTGGTACATTGTAGACTTAACCCTAACTGACTCCACTAAACCCTAACAGACTCCACTGGACTAAACCCTAGCTCCTGTAGCCTCTGCTGGATGACTCCCTGACTCGGTTACTCGACTCTTGCCTACTCCTGTGTTTAAAGCGTTGCCTTGAAGTTCTGGTGGAGCAGCAGAACAAGTGGAGGAAGGTGTGGCGGAACTTGTTGTTGAGGACGATGTAGACGATGAAGTTGATGGCACTGTTGACACAGCTGGCCAGGTTAATGACCTGGTACAGGATCTTCCCGATATTGGTGGAGCTCTGGTCGGTGAGGGAGTACACGGCGTACTGGGGGATGTACAGCGGAAGTGCTTGAAATGACGTCGTCAGCGTGTAAGCTGCGCAGACGGCTAGCAGCATCCTGGTCGTCCGGCTTCCTCTGTGTGTGGCTGACGTCATCCTCTTGCGTGTCATTGACGTCATCTTCAGTTTGATGAAGATGATGACGCAGCCGATGATGGTGAAGATGGGAGGGATGATGAAGCTGGAGTAGACAAGCAGATCCTGTAAGAACGAGATCAGATGAAAGTTCTCGTAGAAGAGCTTTGAGTGGACGATCACACCGACGGTCTCGTTCGTGGAGTTATCAGTCACGTACTGTAGCTCCATCAGAAAACTGGCGAAAATAAACATTGATATGTAGTAGACGGACAAGACGGCCACAGCGAGCCATGTCCGGCCAGGGGTCAAGATCCTGTGGAAGTTCAAGGGAAAGAAGATCATGAGCAGTCTCTCAATGGTGATGAGCATGGGCAGGGTCAGCCCCAGCAGGCCAAACGCGTAGTCGTAGAACGTGAAGATGACGAAAAACACGAACAAAACGTTCATGTCTGACGGGGAGAAGCCGACAAAACGATGGCCGCCTACAGCTTCGTACAGGACCTTGGGCACGCTGTTGTAGGAGACGAGGAAATGGATGTCAGCCACGGCTAGGGAGACGAGCAGGATGTTGGAGCACTTCCTCAGGCCGTGCCTCATCAGGACCACGATGCTGAACACGTTCCCGACCACAGCGAAGAGAGAGACGGCGGGGATGAGACCGTACATCAAGACTTTCAGAACCAGCGCCGTCTGCTCGTCGCTGATGACCTCAACAGATGTGGAGTTTAGCATGATGGGTCAGTGTTGGGTCAGTGGTGGGTCAGTGTTGGGTCAGTGTTGGGTCAGTGTTGGGTCAGTGTTGGGTCAGTGTTGGCTTAGTGTTGGGTCTGCGCCTGTGGCTAAACCACATGGGACATTTCACAGCGAATATGTTGTAGTTGATATTTTACATTTGATATTTCACCGCGCATTGTTTATATTTTAGATATTTCACAGATGATATTTCAAAGTTGATAGATTAGAGCTGTAGTTTCACAGCTAGTACTTCACAGCTAGTATTCCACAGGGGTATTTCAGAATGTATATTTAACAGCTTGTATTTCACAGCTAGTACTTTACAGCTAGTACTGAGTCCTCGAATTATTGGGCTGTGTAAGACATTTGAAACGACCAATAAAAATGGAAAGTGCTGACGTCACGTAACCCCAACATCAAGAGGGTCATATGACTGCAACCAGTCACAGCTAGATTAATCTGACCAAAATAAATTTTCCACGCTTCAAAAACATTTCCGACGGCGCACACAACGAATTCTGGACTAAAATCACATTGTCCACAATTTTCTGAGACGTCACGAGCTATAATCCCGAACCCAAATGTTTAGAATCTCGAGTCTAACAGATCACAATTCCGCAGCTGATGATGAGCGAAACCAGTCTGGCACCGTGCACCTGTATCTCGTCAGAGTGCTCATGCTGGGAATAAAGTACTTTTAAAAATAGATTATGTAATTTCTTCTAAAAATTTATAATAACATATTTTTTATCACGTTTTCATTTTTTTTCCTTTTCAATTTGAGTGTTCTTAAGGTTGATTGGTTAAAACACACGTCTAAGAAATGAATGACGATGAAACAATTAAATATGCTTTCACAATTATTGTATTTTAATTTTGTGTTCTTCAAGCTAAAAAAAAAATTATATCAACAGCGTCACAATGTTTCTATTTTTGCCGTCCAAGTCGTGACAAATCTAAACATTTTCAAAAATTGCGGAAGTTTGATAAGACAACACGATTTTCCTCAATGGATTGTGCACGAACAAAAATCTTGGATAGCGCTGTCTTGTCCTTCTGATCGATATGTCGATATTGTCCGCTCCTTGATAGCACCCCACCCCCACCTGCCTGTGATCACCCCGTGGGACGGGCTCACCTGTCCAACTCTGTGGGACGGGCTCACGTGTCCAACTCACCCTGTGAGAGAACAGAGCGAAGACATTTGTACTCGACTGTGCAAACAACAGTGACGTCTGAAGAACTAGCCCCACTCCCGGGGGTCAAGCCGAGAATGTAAATTGTCTTAATTAACTTGATCAATTAAATTCTTGATATTTAATTGTCAGTCTTGATGTGAAATACAACTTTGTATACATCACGTAACTGACTGGTGAATGGGTGACCTACACATTAGACATACGTACCATTGCTAACTTGCAGAAGCAACAAATGTTGGTAAAGGTTTTGGTATGAGCTTCAAGAGAAGCCCCTCACTTCATACATTGAGCAGCGTTTTGATTGTGCGTTCGATTCAGGGTTCAAATAATTGTCTAACACTTGTTTTAAGGGCTTATTACATTAGTCTTAGGCAAAGTGGGAACAAATCCAAACACAGAAAACACGTAGGAAAGTTCTGGGGATACATGTATTGTAAATTCTGGGATAAAGGAGTTGTAAATTCAGGGATAAAGGTACTGTAAATTCTGGGGTAAAGGTATTGTAAATTCTGGGATAAAGGTGTTTTAAATTCTGGGATAAAGGTATTGTAAATTCTGGGATAAAGGTATTGTAAATTCTAGGGATACAGGTATTGTAAATTCTAGGGATACAGGTATTGTAAATTCTAGGGATACAGGTATTGTAAATTCTAGGGATACAGGTATTGTAAATTCTGGTATTACAGTGTTCTGTTAAGGAGATCAAGTCGTGTTTGAATCAGCATCTACTGCAAGTACAAGAGGAGCTTAAGTTTAGCAGGCTGGTGCGGAAGTTCTTGTTCAATAGAAAATAGACCAGGAAATTGCTGGAACTGTTGATGCAACAGATGGTGTTGACAGCCTGATAGAAGATTTTTCCGATGTTGGACGGGTTGTCGTCTGTCAGAGAGTATGATGCGTATTGTGGGATGTAAAGAGGCAGGGAGAGGAAGGCGGCGGTGAATGTATAGACGAGACACACTGCCAACAACATGCGTGTCGTTCTACTGGTCGAGACGGTCTTGGAGGTCAGTTTGCTGCGTCTGGCCGACGTGATGCGGATCTGGATGGAGATGACCACACAGCCAGCCACGGTCAACAGGGGCGGCACGATCATACTGGAGTAGATCAGCAGGTCCTGGATCAAGGCCACGGAGCTCAGGTGATCGTAGTAAAACGCCGAGTTTTTAATTAGACCAACAGAAACATTTCTGACGGGGTCAAGGCCGTACCGGGCTTCCAACCAGAAGCTGGCGTAGATAAAAATAGAAAACCAGTAGACGGCCACGCCCACCACCGCCGCCCATGTCCGTCCAGGGGTGATGAAACGCCGGAAGTTGAGGGGGAAGAAAACGACCACCAGCCTCTCGAATGTGATCAACATGGGCAGGGTGAGTCCACTCAGTCCGCACGCGTAGTCGAAGAGCGTGAAGATGCTGAAGAACACAAAGAGCACGTGCGTGTCGTGTTGGCTGAAGCCTCGGTACTCGTGGTTCCAGACGGCCTCGTAGAGAATCTTCGGTACACTGTTGAAGGAGATGAGGAACATGATGTCCGAGAAGGCCAGAGAGACCAACAGGATGTTGGAGCACTTGTGGAGCCCGTGCCTCGTCAGGACCGTGATGCTGAGGATGTTGCCCACGACCCCCAGGCCGGAGATGGAGGGGGTCACGTAAAACATGAGGATCCTCATCAAGTACCACGTCATTTCGTTGCTGATGATTTCGTTGGTCGGCATCGTATTATTATCCGGCATAGTAGACACAAATTATTGCAGAATTCACAACAAAACAGGCGATACTTACATAAGCCACAAATCTAGTTTTTTTCACAGTTTAACTTGGCTCTAAATATCAAATGAAGTCAGTATTTCTGTCACATCTACAACTGGTTTCTGTAAGAATTTCGCCTAAGCGGTTTTTTTCTTCTATTTAACGGTAAAGTCCTTACATAAAAATCTGTTTTGAACAAGAGAAACCTTCACCAAATCCACCTGAAACTGATTTCAAGTTGAACCGATTTATAGGTTGACCATCCGTTCATTTATACCGTGACACAATATCCTTACGTCAATTAAAAAAACAAATTTGTGGGTTGAACACGTTTATTGTAGAAGTTTAGTTTAACCTCTTTTTAAAAAAAAAAGTACGTTTATCTTTTCAAATAGTTCTATAGACATTTTAATTTAGAAGCTGCTCCGTGGTTTAATTAAAGTAATCTTTTGTGATTACTCAGAGAGGTATTGAAGTAAAATGTAAACAAGAAACCTTGCACAAACACGGAGATTTAATGGCGACTCGGCTTTTATAGTTGTCAATTTAACCGATTTAATTTCAGCAAATTGAAACATGGGTTATAGGTCTAATCAGTTCGTGTCTAGTGATGTTGGATGAATGATGTTTGATGTTGGATGAATGATGTCTGATGTTGATTTACTAGCTCAAATGTGGATAATTAAGTTTTGTGATCGATGAATGACTAATGACAAAATTACACGCTGATAATTATACTTTGATAATTACACATCAAATCTTATTATATAATCAATCCATATTTAAATTAAATTAATTTCGCTATATCATTTAAAAAGCATTTAGGACAATAATTATTTTAAAATGAGTTTAAGATTATTGGGCACTGGTGATATTTTAAGATTATAGGGTTCACCTGAAAACGGATTCGACGTTGCAAACGATTGAGACGAGCTAAAATTAGAAGCCAGCAACTTAGGAACATAGGACATATTCTATCGTGTAGTTAGCGTGTAGTGTTATAACTGGGATTAACATAGGATATAGGACTGGGATAAAATATCGTTTAATTCTTAATTGTATTTATGCCCATACTATTATATTGTTTAACTGTAGGTTAGATAGATCATAATAGCTGGAATAGGAATAGTCCTTAGTGTGTCTGACTGTACGTCCACTCACTAAATACAAGCCTTTAGATTGTAAGGATGACAGCATCAATGGGGTAAGGTATAGCAGCCATGTTGACCTGTGTAACCGTGGTGCAGACAATATGGCGGCAGATTTGGGGAAACCTGGGAAGTTATCAGTAGGGTCTGGCATTTTAATTAGATACGACAGAACTGTCGACATACAAGTTAGGCTAGGTGGGGGAAGACAAAAAAGTTAGGAACAGTGAGGGTTAGAGGACAGTGGCACGTTAGCTTTGTTAGGATGTAGACGTGGTTTGTTTTGTAAAGTGTAGTAGGGCTGGCCCCTAAGGCTGGCCGCTATTGGTGATCACGTTTATCTCCTATTTTAATCAAGACCAAACGTATCCACCATTCAAGTTAATGAGCTGAAATTGTGTTGATGTCTTCTTTAACTTCTCACTGCAGTCACCAGTACCAACCATACCGATGACGTCGTAACATTTAGATGGATCAGCGAAAACGACATAATATGTTGGTAGTGCAGCAAATACGACTCATTATTTTTTTTTGAAACAACTAAAAGGATTCTTATTTTGATCAAGGAGCGAAATCGTCTAACAACATATGGAAATTGGCTCAAGCTTCTCATTTGTTAACTAATGGCGGAACTTAGAAAGCGACCACTTATTACATAATCGGATGTAGTAGCGAACATAACTCTTCTTATAAAGTACGTCGGAACAGCGAAAAAGAACTTTAGTGATTCTCGAAGAGGTGCAGATCTATTGTTTTTATCACGCCCCTGCAACTCGTCGTCTGTGTTTAAGTTGAATTTATCGTCCAGCTCGTTGTTGTCAAGTTTTACGTACATACGTCACAACTTTTGCATTCACAACCCGTGTGACACAGCCTAACTGTCACTATTAGTTTATTTTCAAGTTTTTTGCACCTATTTCTGAGATACATTTTGTAAAGGAATTATAGGACTTTCATTAGTTCGGACTACCTACTTTAATTAATTGCTATTGGTGACGTGTTAGAATTGAAGAATTTATTCTGCCAACATTGAGGTAAGTATACAGTGATTAGTGAGTGTGACTACTAACTAAATCGTCGTTGTTTGTAATCTAATGGCATCTGAACTGTTATGATATGAAGTACCCTTCCACCCATGATGATGTGAAGTACCCTTCCACCCATGACGATGTGAAGAATCCCTACATCCCTGATGATGTGAAGTACCCTTACATTGGCCTTACACCCATGATGTTAAAATGAAGTGTTCATGTGTTGATGTCATCCCACCGCAGTTCCAGATGTTTAAGCTGACGAATTTAGATTAAGAAATGTCAGTCATGGCCTCAGATACACGATATATCTGGACAAGCTGACGTCATGGCCTCAGATACACGATATATCTGGACAAGCTGACGTCGTGGCCTCAGATACACGATATATCTGGACACACTGACGTCATGACCTCACACATAAGATTTATCTGGACAAGCTGACGTCATGGCCTGATAAAAATGACTTACCTGACTGGCCAAACTGTCATGCTGAGATTGAGAAGTCTCCATGTTGCTGTCTACAAACTGGCTCACATCAGCTTTCAAGTAATGTTTATTGACAACTTCACGGTTAACATTTGATTTGATATTCACGGTAACATTTGATTTGATATTCACGGCAACATTTGATTTGATATTCACGGTAACATTTGATTTGATATTCACGGTAACATTTGATTTGATATTCACGGCAACATTTGATTTGATATTCACGGTAACATTTGATTTGATATTCACGGTAACATATTTGATTTGATATTCACGGTAACATTTGATTTGATACTCACCGTAACATTTGATTTGATATTCACGGTAACATTTGATTTGATATTCACAGCAACATTTGATTTGATATTCACGGCAACATTTGATTTGATATTCACGGTAACATTTGATTTGATATTCACGGTAACATATTTGATTTGATATTCACGGTAACATTTGATTCTTTATCAACGTCCCAACTCGTTGTCGCGATAACGTCATAATTCAAGTTTCTGTGTACTGACACACGTGTTGAATTTATTTTCACACACCTATCCAGGTAGATACAGTTGTCAAGCATCTAACCCCCCCCCCCCCCCACTCACACACACACGAGTTTGACGAGTGAACTGTCCTCACTGTAAAGTTTACCACGTGTGGCAGGACTTTGTGTTTACATGTATGTATAGGAAGGGGGGGAAGAGGGGGGAGGAAGGGAAGGAGAGAGGGGGAGAAATAATCCTATCGTTTAAACTTTTAAACGATGTTGTTTCTGTCAGTCAACTTTAGCTGAAGCTATTTCTATCAGTCAACTTTAGCTTCAGTTATTTACTTCATCAGTCAACTTTGACTAGCTAATTCTATCAGACAAGTTAGTTGGAAACCCTAACTTTATCAGAGAGTCCCAGTATTAGGCGTGGTGATGTTTGTGTGAATTCTATTTGGTCTTTTGAGTGGATACAACGACTTTTGAGTGGATACCACGACTACAGGCAGGAGACTTATCACATTGCAGCTGGGAGGTTGTATTTTATCATTTATCACTATTACCAAATCGTTTTGTATTTAAAAAGGAGATTAGTTGGATGATGTCATGTGGACAAAAGACATATGACGTCATGTGGAAAATAATGTGGGAGTGATCTCCCTTAAATTTTCTCAAACATTCTTAGATAATACTGAGGGGAATCGCAACTCCAGTGCAGTAGGGATATAGACAAGTTTTTACAAATCAATTTTTAAATACTTATTTTTTAAAATATAGAATCTCGTAGAAAAAAGAATTGCACACCAAATGAACAGCAATTGTGTGTATATTAGAATTTTATAAATAAAACCTTAATTTTCAAAGAGTTAATTAATTATCTAATCAAGTAGCATTTTATGTAACATTACATTGTCTTCGAGTCTTGACGTACGTGAAAAGTTTCAAACAAATTGGTCCGTTAGAAGTGCTCGAAATTGTGCTCGCAAGTTTCCACTATGAAAAACAAAAGGCCGAGTAATCAAGTTAAAAAACATTTGTATCCGGAAACAGGGTCAAGTACTACTTCCGGTCAACGAAAATTACTCAAGTTATCGTGTTCACAGACAGACACATACATACAGAAAAGATTTCAAAACTAAGTTTTTTTTCCCGACTCTTGAAGGTGTAAAAAGGTCGAGATTTGTCAAAATTACAATACTTTCTCAATACTCCGTATACAAGAAAGTAAAAAGACAATCTAAAACTCAGCTTACACACTGGCGACTAACTATAAATTAGACAATAATTTATTGTAAGAATATAATATGTATTTAAAATACATTGTCAAATTCATAAAAACACATAATGACGTTGTATTCAATAATTTATCTTAAAAAAGTTTTTAAAAAGAACATCAATGTTTAGAATATGTGTATATATATGTAAAAAATGTTACAAAAATTTAGTGTGAATGAAAACAAGAAAACATTTTGTAGAGATCACAGCTCTCGAGGGCAACATATTTGCATAATTTAAATAAAACATTTAAAATCATTAGAGTTGTGTTACGCAATCATACACATGGGGGGACATTTTTGACAGTTAATTAATTAGTTCCATTAGTGGCACAAAACACGATTTTTAGGACCAGTAGTACCACGCAGACACCCAAGAAGTCACTTAAATTGGGTCCGAGAATTTGGCGAAGTTGAGGATTTATTAGAGGTAAATGTTGACACGTACACATATGTATGTTACAATTAAACTAATTACATAGATTTTACCAAAATTTATTGATTAAAAAACGTATATTGTACGTGCAGGCGTTTTAGAAATACTAATGAGCTAACAAGACTTAAGTCAATCAGTTAAATAATTAGTTGAAGCTGTAGCTTGTATTAGACTTTGCTAAATAAGAAACTAAAATATGTCAAGTTTGTCAATATTTTAATTTTTGTTGATTTCAGACATTTTACGACAGCTAATAGTTAGCACTGGTATTCCGGATTTTTTAATATTTCACATTAAATGTGTTTTGATTTCTTATGATCAAATGAGAAAGGCACATCAAGAAATAAGACATTGCTTCAACATATGAAAAAACAATCAGCAGTCGAAAATTGAATCAGACATAACATTCAAATCATCTTTGAAATTGGGAAAACAGCCCGTCATTCCTAAAGTATGTTAACAAGTCATTCCTAAAGGTGTGTTAACAAGCCATTCCTAAAGGTATGTTAACAAGTCATTCCTATCGGTTAGGAAACTTTAACTTTTAAATATAAATAAAGTCATTTCCAAACATGTTATATCGGGCCATCCAAAGTTGAGAAAAATCCCTGCAGATTTTGTTTCCAGTAAACAAATTGTTTAGTGTAAAGTTTGAACAGTAAACATTAACTCCCACAATTCCCTTGTGCTACCACTCACCAAAGCAGTTCGGTTTATGTTCCAGGCCCAATAGGGCTGGTAAGTAGGTCACCAACCAGTTCTACAGCTCATGCAGGTTTTATTGAGCTGTAGAACTGGTTGGTGACCTACTTACCAGCCCAATTGACACTAATTAAGTTAATTGGACAGTGTTAGGATAAAATGACAATTACATATTGACTTCAGCAGACATAAAAGTTTATAGAAAGGTAAACAGCGTAAAATGATTGAATAAATTAATTTAAATCAAACTTTGGCCTTAAATCTATAGCTGAGAAAAGTTTAAAATGTCTTGAAGGTGCATGATGTGTATGTGGGTCCGTACATTTCTGTAGAACTCCATGTCGTGGTCGGTGGATCGAGTGCCAGGTAAACTTTGATGTAAGTGTTATGGGAGGTTTCCCCAGGTACAGCTTCATGACGTCATTGTGCTAGAGTTGACGTCATTGTGCTAGAGTTGACGTCATTGTGCTAGAGTTGACGTCATTGTGCTAGAGTTGACGTCATTGTGCTAGAGTTGACGTCATTGTGCTAGAGTTGACGTCATTGTGCTAGAGTTGACGTCATTATTGGATGGGCTATCTCCGTCCCACATGAAATGGTGTGCTAAAAGGCGAGTTGTCTGGTGTTTAGAGGGTGAAGGACAGAGAGGTCACGTGGTTAGTTATCTGGTGTTGAGGGGTCAAGGACGGAGAGGTCACTCGGCTAGTTATCTGGTGTTTAGGGTTCAAGGTCAGAGGTCACGTGGTTAGTTATCTGGTGTTGAGTGGGTCAAGGACGGAGAACTGCATCAGGGCGGCATCGTTCCCACCAGACGTGATGACGAAACTGTCGTCGTAGGTGAAGGTCGCACACGTGACGTTTGTTGAGTAGACCTTCGTGTTCCTGAAACTGGCCTGGAAATTTTTAAAAATATTTTGTTTTAATGTCAGATGTGATTGGTTACGTCCGGTGTGCGTCATTAATTACATGCGGCGCCGAACTAGGCCATTAATTACATGTGGCACCGAACTAGGCCATTAATTACATGCGGCGCCGAACTAGGCCATTAATTACATGTGGCGCCGAACTAGGCCATTAATTACATGTGGCACCGAACTAGGCCATTAATTACATGCGGCGCCGAACTAGGCCATTAATTACATGCGGCGCCGAACTAGGCCATTAATTACATGTGGCACCGAACTAGGCCATTAATTACATGCGGCGCCGAACTAGGCCATTAATTACATGTGGCGCCGAACTAGGCCATTAATTACATGTGGCACCGAACTAGGCCATTAATTACATGCGGCGCCGAACTAGGCCATTAATTACATGTGGCACCGAACTAGGCTATTAATTACATGTGGCACCGAACTAGGCCATTAATTACATGTGGCACCGAACTAGGCCATTAATTACATGTGGCACCGAACTAGGCCATTAATTACATGTGGCACCGAACTAGGTAATTAATTACACGTGGCACCGAACTAGGCCATTAATTACATGTGGCACCGAACTAGGCCATTAATTACATGTGGCACCGAACTAGGCCATTAATTACACGTGGCACCGAACTAGGCCATTAATTACATGTGGCACCGAACTAGGTCATTAATTACACGTGGCACCGAACTAGGCCATTAATTACACGTGGCACCGAACTAGGCCAATAATTACCTTAGGCACCGAGCTAGGCCACTAATTATCTTAGGCACCGAGCTAGGCCATTAATTACCTTAGGCACCGAACTAGGTCAATAATTACCTTAGGCACCGAACTAGGCCACTAATTACCTTAGGCGCCGAACTAGGCCACTAATTACATTAGGCGCCGAACTAGGCCATTAATTACATGTGGCACCGAACTAGGCCATTAATTACCTTAGGCACCGAGCAAGGCCACTAATTACCTTAGGCACCGAGCTAGGCCACTAATTACCTTAGGCGCCGAGCTAGGCCACTAATTACCTTAGGCACCGAGCTAGGCCACTAATTACCTTAGGCACCGAACTAGGCCACTAATTACCTTAGGCACCGAGCTAGGCCACTTGTAGAGCCTGATCCTGCCCTTGCTGTCGCCCACCACCATCAGGTCTCTGTACTGGGACCTGGCCACCACGTTGATGACGTCACCGCGGTCAAGATTCTGCCACGGACCTGTGGAATTACAGATTTGGTTTCAGGACGTCAACATTTTAAAAAAAATGCTTGAGTTTCTTATTACGGTTATAATTATAGTTTCAAGTGTTGCAATTATATTTTTTTGTGTCGATGTGTAACTTGATTCAGTTGTCCTCAACACATGTTGTGTTTCTCCTGAGAGCTGGATGTAGTGAATATAAAACATGCGTGTGTTGCTGTCGTTGATGGTCTCACCTATGATGGAGTGGCCGATGGGACAGTTCTGGGTGGCCCACTTGACGTCACGGAAGTTTCTGGCAGACTTAAACTTTTGAGAGGTCGAGACATCCCCTGGGGAAAAACATCAGGATGTTGGGAGTGTGGACCACACATTATGATGTTGGGAGTGTGGACCACACATCAGGATGTTGGAAGTGTGGACCACACATCAGGATGTTGGGAGTGTGGACCACACATCATGATGTTGGAGTGTGAACTGAACATCAAGATGTTGGGAGTGTGGGCCACACATCAAGATGTTGGGAGTGTGGACCACACATCAGGATGTTGGGGATGTGGACCACACATCAGGATGTTGGATTGTGTGGACCAAACATCAGGATGTTGGAAGTGTGGACCACACATAAGGATGTTGGGAGAGTGGACCACACATCAAGATGTTGGGAATGTGAACTGAGCATCCGGATGTTGGGAGTGTGGACCACACATCAGGATGCTGGAAATGTGGACAAAACATCAAGATGTTGGGAATGTGAACCACACATCAGGATGTTGGGAGAGTGGACCACACATCAAGATGTTGGGAATGTGAACTGAGCATCCGGATGTTGGGAGTGTGGACCACACATCAGGATGTTGTGAGTGTGAACCACACATCAGGATGTTGGGAGTGTGGAAAACACATCATGATGTTTGAGTGTGAACCACACATCAGGATGTTGGATTGTGTGGACCAAACATCAGGATGTTGGGGATGTGGACCACACATCAGTATGTTGGGAGTATGGACCACACATCAGGATGTTGGAGTGTGGACCACACATCAGGATGTTGGAAGTGTGGACCACACATCAGGATGTTGGAAGTGTGGACCACACATCAGGATGTTGGGAGTGTCGACCACACATCAAGATGTTGGGAGTGTGGGCCACACATCAAGATGTTGGAGTGTGAACTGAACATCAAGATGTTGGGAGTGTGGGCCACACATCAAGATGTTGGGAGTGTGGACCACACATCAGGATGTTGGGGATGTGGACCACACATCAGGATGTTGGATTGTGTGGACCAAACATCAGGATGTTGGAAGTGTGGACCACACATCAGGATGTTGGGAGAGTGGACCACACATCAAGATGTTGGGAATGTGAACTGAGCATCCGGATGTTGGGAGTGTGGACCACACATCAGGATGCTGGAAATGTGGACAAAACATCAAGATGTTGGGAATGTGAACCACACATCAGGATGTTGGGAGAGTGGACCACACATCAAGATGTTGGGAATGTGAACTGAGCATCCGGATGTTGGGAGTGTGGACCACACATCAGGATGTTGTGAGTGTGAACCACACATCAGGATGTTGGGAGTGTGGAAAACACATCATGATGTTTGAGTGTGAACCACACATCAGGATGTTGGATTGTGTGGACCAAACATCAGGATGTTGGGGATGTGGACCACACATCAGTATGTTGGGAGTATGGACCACACATCAGGATGTTGGAGTGTGGACCACACATCAGGATGTTGGAAGAGTGGACCACACATCAGGATGTTGGAAGTGTGGACCACACATCAGGATGTTGGGAGTGTCGACCACACATCAAGATGTTGGGAGTGTGGGCCACACATCAAGATGTTGGAGTGTGAACTGAACATCCAGATGTTGGGAGAGTGGACCACACATCAGGATGTTGGGAGAGTGGACTACACATCAGGATGTTGGGAGAGTGGACTACACATCAGGATGTTGGGAGAGTGGACTACACATCAGGATATTGGGAGAGTGGACTACACATCAGAATGTTGGGAGAGTGGACTACACATAAGGATGTTGGGAGAGTGGACCACACATAAGGATGTTGGGAGAGTGGACTACACATCATGATGTTGGGAGAGTGGACTACACATCAGGATGTTGGGAGAGTGGACTACACATAAGGATGTTGGGAGAGTGGACCACACATAAGGATGTTGGGAGATCGGACTACACATAAGGATGTTGGGAGAGTGGACCACACATAAGGATGTTGGGAGAGTGGACTACACATAAGGATGTTGGGAGAGTGGACTACACATAATGATGTTGGGAGAGTGGACTACACATAAGGATGTTGGGAGAGTGGACTACACATAAGGATGTTCGGAGAGTGGACTACACATAAGGATGTTGGGAGAGTGAACCACACATCATGATGTTGGAGTGTGGACCACACATCATGATGTTGGAAATGTGGACAACACATTAGAATGTTGGGAGTGTGAACCACACATCACGATGTTGGAATGTGAACTGAAGCTCAGGATTTGGATCAACACTTTTCTATATGTAAGTTTAGTTACAATTTAGTTTTAGCTTTAGTTCAAATGTAGACTGGCGTAGAATATTGCATGTGTTTAGTTATAATAAAAATGTCATGCATTAAAGGTGGAAGATAAAAACAAGGACTTATAGCAAACCGTTTGTCAAACAAAAACTTACAGTACATAATTTCGTCAAACAAGAAATTACATCCTTAAACTCTACCATGAAACTAGGAATTACAGTAAACCCTTTAAAAAGCTGGACTTACAGTAGACTATGTTGTAAAACCCCTAAAAAAAACAAGACTTACAGTAGACGATGCCGTAATCCCCTAAAATAACAGGACTTACAGTAGACGATATTAGTAATGCCCTAAAAAAACAGGACTTACAGTAGACGATGTCGTAATCCCCTAAAATAACAGGACTTACAGTAGACGATGCCGTAATCCCCTAAAAAACAGGACTTACAGTAAACCTTTTAAAAAAACAGGACTTACAGTAGACGATGTCGTAATCCCCTAAAATAACAGGACTTACAGTAGACGATGCCGTAATCCCCTAAAGTAACAGGACTTACAGTAAACCCTTTAAAAAACAGGACTTACAGTAGACGATGTCGTAATCCCCTAGAACAGTCTGTAGAATCCTTGAGTCCAGGGACCAATCCAGGTTCATGATGAACATGTTGTTGTGCTGGAATACAAACAGGACAGCTGGTGACCCATGGTGACCTCTAGTGACCATGGTGACCTCTAGTGACCATGGTGACCTATAGTGACCCCTCGTGACCTCTGGTGACCCCTTGTGACCTCTGGTGATCTCTAGTGACCCATTGTGACCTCTAGTGATGCCTGGTGACACCTGGTGACCTCTAGTGACCTCTAGTGACCTCTAGTTACCCATGGTGACCTCCAGTCTCTTCTGGTGATCCCAATGTCCCCTATTGGAGCCTGGGATCCCTGGTACCCCCCCCCCCCCCCAGATACTAGCGACCCCAAGGATCACAGCGACCTTTAAAGTTTGAACTTTGTAAATTGTCACAATTGAATTGGTACACAACATAAACTACGACAGTGAGTACTAATCAACCCTCATAGTTTCAAACGTGATGAGTTTTTTGTTGTGTATATTTTAAGACATGACACCACACTACTCTCCTTCACCTGTCTTAAAAAAATCAATCAGGCGTTCAATAATTTATTTTAGTAGGATTTCATGTAATTTTTTGCTTTTAAAATCCGAAAGCTTTTTATTTTAATTTCCGTTTGATTTCTATTAAAAACAATTAAACTAATCAATTTAGAGAACAAATTCCAGTCTAGCTCATGTTTTAATCAACGTTTTTGGTTTAATCGAGGTTATGGGGTTTTATGGCCGATACAAGGGACACAATCATGAGGTTAAACTAAGGCTAAACTATCTGCAAGTTGAGGACATCATGAGGTCGTTTATAGCCTGCAGTGTCTTGGGGTGTGTGGGTGAAGTGGGGGGTGGGTGGGGGGGACGGCCCGCGTCAGGTGGCACCCAACCAAGTGACGTCACAGTTAATCATGGCACTAATTAAAGATGGAACTAATTTACCTTGAGCGATGAGATTTGAGACCTGAAGAAATTGTGACCTTCGTCTTGCACGTAGAAAATCTGGATGAAACCATCAAAGGTCCCCACTGCAAGTTGCTTGCCGTCTGCAAGTTTGTGGAAGCATGTTTTTATTCAAAGATTTTTATTTTAAAACATTTCCAGATGCGTTCAGAATTATATATTGTTTTTATTATTTTTTAAGCAAATTTTTAATAAACCATATCGTGTAAATTTTTTTAAGGCAAATGCTGTTTGATAAAATATTTTTATTTTAGACTTTATGTTTCAAACTACCGGTCTACAAGTGCTGGACTGGACTGGCGAATTTTAAAATTTATTTTTGGCACTAACAGGTGTAGGAATTGTACACCAGGGAAGATAACAAAACTGACCAGGGGAGAGAAGAAAACTGACCAGGGGAGAGAAGGAAACTGACCAGGGGAGGATACAAAACTGACCAGGTGAGAGAAGGAAACTGACCAGGGGAGATAACAAAACTGACCAGGGGCGAGAAGGAAACTGACCAGGGGAGATAACAAAACTGACCAGGGGAGAGAAGGAAACTGACCAGGGGAGAGAAGGAAACTGACCAGGGGAGATAACAAAACTGACCAGGGGAGATAACAAAACTGACCAGGGGAGATAACAAAACTGACCAGGGGAGAGAAGGAAACTGACCAGGGGAGAGAAGGAAACTGACCAGGGGAGATAACAAAACTGACCAGGGAGATAACAAAACTGACCAGGGGAGATAACAAAACTGACCAGGGGAGATAACAAAACTGACCAGGGGAGAGAAGAAAACTGACCAGGGGGAGAGAAGAAAACTGACCAGGGGAGAGAAGAAAACTGACCAGGGGAGAGAAGAAAACTGGACCAGGGGAGAGAAGAAAACTGACCAGGGGAGATAACAAAACTGACCAGGGGCGAGAAGGAAACTGACCAGGTGAGAAGCTGAGGGCGTTGACCTGAGTGTTCCCTGCCGCCAGTGACGTCAGCTGGATGCCGTTGTAAGAGTTGAGGACCAAACACCTTGCCAGCCGTGGTGCCGGACAGCCACGATTTTACCTTTGGGGTCGATGCTGATACAGGTGCATGGGTTCTGTGTAAGACATGTGGTCTCAGTCAATAGGGGGCGGGGTCAGGTGGTCTCAGTCAATAGATTTTAGTGGGGGGGGGGGGGCAGGTGGTCTCAGTCAATAGGTGGGGGGGGGGGGGGGCAGGTGGTCTCAATCAATAGATTTTAGTGGGGGGGGGGCAGGTGGTCTCAATCAATAGATTTTAGTGGGGGGGGGGGCAGGTGGTCTCAGTCAATAGATTTTAGTGGGGGGGGGGGCGGGTGGTCTCAGTCAATAGATTTTAGTGGGGGGGGGGGGGGGGCGGGTGGTCTCAGTCAATAGGGGGGGCGGGCAGGTGGTCTCAATCAATAGGGGGGGGGGGCAGGTGGTCTCAATCAATAGGGGGGGGGGGGCAGGTGGTCTCAATCAATAGGGGGGCGGGCAGGTGGTCTCAGTCAATAGGGGGGGGGGGCAGGTGGTCTCAATCAATAGGGGGGGGGGCAGGTGGTCTCAGTCAATAGGGGGGGGGGGCAGGTGGTCTCAATCAATAGGGGGGGGGGGCAGGTGGTCTCAGTCAATAGGGGGGGGGGGGGCAGGTGGTCTCATTAAATAGGGGGGGGGGCAGGTGGTCTCAATCAATAGGGGGGGGGGGCAGGTGGTCTCAGTCAATAGGGGGGGGCAGGTGGTCTCAGTCAATAGGGGGCGGGACAGGTGGTCTCAATCAATAGGGGGGGGGGCAGGTGGTCTCAGTCAATAGGGGGCGGACAGGTGGTCTCAATCTATAGGGGGGGGGGGGGGCAGGTGGTCTCAGTCAATAGGGGGGCGGGCAGGTGGTCTCAATCAATAGGGGGGGGGGCAGGTGGTCTCAGTCAATAGGGGGGCGGGCAGGTGGTCTCAGTCAATAGGGGGCGGACAGGTGGTCTCAATCAATAGGGGGGGGCAGGTGGTCTCAGTCAATAGGGGGGGGGGCAGGTGGTCTCAGTCAATAGGGGGCGGACAGGTGGTCTCAATCAATAGGGGGGGGGGGCAGGTGGTCTCAGTCAATAGGGGGGCGGACAGGTTGGTCTCAGTCAATAGGGGGGGGGGGCAGGTGGTCTCAATCAATAGGGGGCGGACAGGTGGTCTCAATCAATAGGGGGGGGGGGCAGGGTGGTCTCAGTCAATAGGGGGGGGGGGGGGCAGGTGGTCTCAGTCAATAGGGGGCGGACAGGTGGTCTCAATCAATAGGGGGGGGGGGCAGGTGGTCTCAGTCAATAGGGGGCGGACAGGTGGTCTCAATCAATAGGGGGGGGGGGCAGGTGGTCTCAGTCAATAGGGGGCGGACAGGTGGTCTCAATCAATAGGGGGGGGGGGCAGGTGGTCTCAGTCAATAGGGGGGCGGACAGGTGGTCTCAATCAATAGGGGGGGGGGCAGGTGGTCTCAGTCAATAGGGGGCGGACAGGTGGTCTCAATCAATAGGGGGGGGGGCAGGTGGTCTCAGTCAATAGGGGCGGACAGGTGGTCTCAATCAATAGGGGGGGGGGGCAGGTGGTCTCAGTCAATAGGGGGGGGGCAGGTGGTCTCATTAAATAGGGGGGGGGTGCAGGTGGTCTCAATCAATAGGGGGGCGGGCAGGTGGTCTCAGTCAATAGGGGGGGGGGGGCAGGTGGTCTCATTAAATAGGGGGGGGGCAGGTGGTCTCAATCATAGGGGGGGGGGCAGGTGGTCTCAGTCAATAGGGGGGGGGGCGGACAGGTGGTCTCAATCAATAGGGGGGGGGCAGGTGGTCTCAGTCAATAGGGGGGGCGGGCAGGTGGTCTCAGTCAATAGGGGGGCGGACAGGTGGTCTCAATCAATAGGGGGGCGGGCAGGTGGTCTCAGTCAATAGGGGGGCGGACAGGTGGTCTCAATCAATAGGGGGGCGGGCAGGTGGTCTCAATCAATAGGGGGGCGGACAGGTGGTCTCAATCAATAGGGGGGCGGGCAGGTGGTCTCAGTCAATAGGGGGCGGACAGGTGGTCTCAGTCAATAGGGGGGCGGACAGGTGGTCTCAATCAATAGGGGGGCGGACAGGTGGTCTCAATCAATAGGGGGGCGGGCAGGTGGTCTCAGTCAATAGGGGGGGGGCAGGTGGTCTCATTAAAATAGGGGGGGGCAGGTGGTCTCAATCAATAGGGGGGGGGGGGGCAGGTGGTCTCAGTCAATAGGGGGGGGGGGGGGCAGGTGGTCTCAATCAATAGGGGGGGGGGGCAGGTGGTCTCAGTCAAATAGGGGGGGGGGGGGGCAGGTGGTCTCAGTCTATAGATTTTACCTACCCCACCAACCTCGCTCACCAGCATACCTCACCAACCTACCCCACCAACCTAACCCACCAACCTCCCTCACTAACCTACCTCACCACCTACCCCACTAACCTACCCCACCAACTACCCCGCCAACCTCCCTCACCAACCTACCTCACCAACCTACCCCACAAACCTACCCCACAACCTACCCCACCAACCTACCCCGCCAACCTCCCTCACCAACCTACCTCACCAACCTACCCACAAACCTACCCCACCAACCTACCCCACCAACCTACCCCGCCAACCTACCCCCCCACCAACCTACCTCGACATTGACCTCCAGACTGAGGCATGTGATATGGCTGACCACTTGACCACCGTCTGGTCGTGTCCAGCTGTGATGAACGTCTGCTCCAGGGGGTGGCTCTCTACGGCCCACAGCTCCTCCACGTGACCCCTGGGGTGGGGTGGGGGGGGGGTGGGTGGGTACAAGATGGGGTGGTCTTAGCCATACAGATAAAACATCTAATACAGAGAACGCTTAATAGGACACTGAATAGAGGACAGAGGACCATAAGTCAGGTTTTTGACAGGACAATTGACGATACACAAGGCAGGACAATGATGTTACAGGGTAGGACACGTGGTAGGACATGAGCAGGGCATAGGACACGACACAGGACAGGAAGAAATGTCCTACCTGGATAACGAACTTGAACTGAGCTGTAGGCTGCCCTCTAGGACCTTGTTGCGTGTGGTGGAGACATAGATGGAACCGTCTAGCCCGCCCCTACTGATGGGCACGATGCTCCGTACATGGCCCGCCGTGGTGGGGAGCTGGGGAGGAGACAAACTTCTACAGGCACCGTCATTGGTTGGTTTCATTAGACAGGTTGGTGTTTATATTGTCGTGGTCAAGGTCATGGTCAATGTCGTGGTAAGGTCATGGTCAATGTCGTGGTCAATGTCGTCGCCAGCGAAAAATGCTAAAGGATACATTTATGATGGGGGCTGGACCATCAAACGTCAATCTTGTTCATAGTAATTTGTTGAGAACCAGCTCCGTCCCAGGTAACACCCCACTTACCCCCCACCACCCCCCCAGCCTTAAACCCCACTCACCCCCACCACCACCCCCAGCTAAAACCCCACATCACCTCCCACCCCCCCCAGCTAAAACCCCACTCACCCCCACCCCCCCCCCCTCAGCTAAAACCCCACTCACCCCCACCCCACCCAGCTAAAACCCCGCTCACCTCCACCCACCCATCTAAAACCCCTCACCCCCCGGTAAACCCCACACCCCCCCGGTAAAACCCTCCTCACCCCCCCCCCCCCCCCCCGGTAAACCCCCTCACCCCCCGGTAAGCCCCCTCACCAACCCCCCCGGTAAACCCCCATCACCTTCCGGTAAAAACCCC